CTTTGAGACTCTTTCTCTTATGTTCAACAAGTAAGTCCTTCGCTTATTTTTCTTCTCATGCTTACGTATATTCTTATTATTTCCTTTACGATAAATAGCTGTTCGTAGTTGGTGATTTTTTACCCTTTCCGTGAGCTCCCGCCTTTTCGCTTCCTTGTGACTCGAAACTAAAACCTAAAGGATGGTAGTATGTTTACCATTTTAGCAACCCGTTATTGGTGAGAGTTAGCATGAAACAATTAAGACAGAACATTTAAGTTTTGCTTCTCTCTTAATTCTATATTTTCTGTTACAAATTCTTTATTCACCCGCAAAGAGAAAAGAAATGATTTGTAATTTCTAGTATCCTAATTGAAAGCTTATGTTAAAAGTTACATGTCATGTGCATTTTATTCAATATTATGTTTTCAAATTTTAAAATTTGTTTCTGTAATGGAAATTTTTGCAGATCAAGCAGATTTGCTCGATTACAGGGCATTCAATGTGCTATAGCTGGTAAAAATCTTTATATGAGATTTAGCTGTAGCACTGGTGATGCAATGGGAATGAACATGGTATCCAAAGGTGTCCAGAACGTTCTGGATTACCTTCAGAGTGAATATCCAGACATGGATGTCATCGGCATATCTGGTATTCCATCTATCTGTTAATTTATTGTTTTTTTTTTTCCTAACTTGATGCTAGAGATGTTTATTTAATTGGGAATCATGTGAAATATTGACAGGGAACTTTTGTTCGGATAAGAAGCCAGCAGCAGTTAACTGGATTGAAGGTAGAGGAAAATCAGTAGTTTGCGAGGCAATAATCAAGGAGGAGGTAGTGAAGAAAGTGTTGAAAACTGAGGTTGCTGCTCTTGTGGAGCTGAACATGCTTAAAAACCTTACAGGGTCAGCCATGGCTGGTGCCCTTGGTGGGTTCAATGCTCATGCCAGCAACATCGTCTCTGCTGTATATTTGGCCACTGGCCAAGACCCTGCTCAAAATGTTGAGAGTTCTCACTGCATTACTATGATGGAGGCTGTAAATGATGGCAAAGACCTCCATGTTTCAGTAACTATGCCTTCTATTGAGGTATACAACCAACATGTGCTTTATTACTCTCTCCGTAGCATATTATTTATCAATTTAGAAAATCAAGATAAAATTAGTTACATTTTACCGTTACAATTAAAATTTTGAAAGTATAATGATATTTGTAAAGTTTCAAAAGAATTTCTATAGTAGTAATGATTTCTTAATGGACGTTTAGAGGTGAAAGTGAACAACTAATATGAAACAACGGTGACTAGTACTACTAAGTATTGAAGAGAGGGTGCTAGGTTTTAACGAAGTGCATGCAGGCTTTGATTTCATCAGATCTATATTTTAATAGTAGTAGAATAAGTCCAGATGAAATATTGACATGTAGCATCCTTCACATTTAATGAGTGAGACCCTGTCATTGAAGTGGGGTGTGTAGCTGGCAGGTTAGGTCATGCCAGAAATATTAATAATGTCCTCAGTCCATAATTAAGTGGCATGCTAAGGAAGAGACAAACTTGCACATGTTTTATACATACTCATTTGTCATGTCTTATACTGTATGTATGAATTTCAGGTTGGTACAGTGGGTGGTGGAACTCAACTTGCATCACAGTCAGCTTGCTTGAACTTACTAGGAGTTAAAGGTGCAAACAGAGATGCACCAGGTTCAAATGCAAGACTCTTGGCCACAATAGTAGCTGGTTCTGTTCTTGCTGGTGAGCTATCTCTCATGTCAGCTATCTCTGCTGGCCAACTGGTTAAAAGTCACATGAAATATAATAGATCTATCAAAGATATTTCCCAAGTAATCACTTCCTCTTAGTGACTGTGAGGAGATTAATTAGCCCCCCACTTAATCCTCTACATCACCACCCCTACTATTACTATATTCCAATAATAAATAAAAAAATAGGAATAAAATTTTCACAATTAGGGAGATCTAGAAGCAGAAGCAGAAGTAATTTGAACCAAAATAAGTTCTTCTTTTATGAAAAAATAATGTGGAGAAGAAAAAGACAAGTTGGAATGTGTTGTATGTATTCTTTCTATGAAGCCATGTGAGGGTGTAGGGTCTCTTTGTTTCTGCAAATATACTGTAGATGTTAGGTGGGAAGTTACCAGTGTCCAGTGGGGGTTAAACTTGTAATTTACTCTCTTCTAAACACTTGCCAACGAAGATGATCCATCTTTTCTGTTGTATTGTTTGTAATTTAGGGAGTGTAATCGCATTTTAATATTTACTCAGAAACTCTGCTTTTGTATATGATTTGTCTTTCTTTATTCAATCATTTTTGTTTGTTTACTCTGGATCTATGTGCCTAAACACGTTTAAAGTTGATGGACCTGTCATGTTCATGTGAAGATTAGTTGTATTTAGGGTCCTGAAATCACCACTACTACTATTTAATTAACTAAAAATTATTCTAATTCACAATTATGGATCCAAGTCTGAAGAGAATTTAAGACAGAATCATTTAGGCTATTCTTGGTTTATATTCGCATTGCCTGGATCTTGTTTAAAATATTCTAAAAGACGCGGAATGAGATTCATTTTACCTGGACAATGAACAAAACAATGTGCTATTCTCGTAAACTATGACTTTATTTCGGTTTTTGGCTCTCATATGATCACTCAACGAGTAGTTCACTTAAAAAATTACTTAATTATTTTGTTTTGTTGACTCGCATCACTTGGCGCAACCAGCTAAAACTATATAGGTCAAATATATACCCTTTTATTTTATCCTCATTTTCTCCTAAATCATCCTTTCTCTCTCCCTCTCACAAAATTATTTTACAATTAAAAAAAAAGAGTATCACAGTAGTGTTTAAAGGAGTATTATCAGATCTGGAACCATATCATTTTAAGTTGTTTTTATATATTTGTATTATGATTCTTTTTAGTACAAAAAATAATTAACTGCTTTCTTTTGCTCTTGATGATTATATTGAAAATTTAGATTTGCGCAGTGGATCTTGAATAACTAATTATTACTTTGATGAAATCTCATAAATTCAGATCTGCACAGTGGATTCTTAATTTTAATTAATAGTACTGCTGTCTTATTTCATTTTATTTAGATCCTATATACTAGAAATAAATGTTCATTTAGCAAATCAACAAAGAGTTTTTACTTAAATAGTAGAAGTCAAATTTCTGCTGATGAAAGGGAAAAAAAAGAGTCCAGAATGATTATGGGAAGATCCAAATTTGCTGTCAAATTTAGTTTAAATGATTTAGATGTTTTGTTCTCATTATTATCAATTAATTAAGTAGTCTATTACTTCCTTTCAATTAGTGATGATACATCCTATAAATCTTATAAATAAATAAACTCTCCCTATTGTCTCTATGATTTGTATTTCTTATATAACATAGTTGAATCATTATTGATACCAAAGGGGATAAAAACAAACGGATCGACTTAAGTGGGGGAGGGGAGGATCAACAAAATGATTAACAAAGGATATCATGCTATTTATAACAAATCTAGCTTAAAATAAATACAAAAAATTGTCAACAAAATGAAATGGAAATATAATCACCTAAAATGGTAAAGTAATATTGTGAGTAAAATATCAATAGTTAAGTGATTTTTGAGTTATAGAAAAAAAGAGTTTTTGAATAAACAATCCTAGTTGATTGATCATCTGAAAAACTAACTCTTACGATGACTTATACCCATACATGACATATTTTATTTATTTTCTGTTGAATAATCTCGTAGAGAGAGTACATATACTTGAGTTTGATGCGGCCTATACTGAAAAAAATAGTTATATCAATGATGAAATGTCAGTTTTTTTTTTCTTTTATTGTGAACACCTTGACTAATACCAAAAAAAAAAGTCTAACCCTAAATTGGAAACTAACTAAATTTTGTAAAATTTGTGGGGACTCATGGGAGTAATAATAATCATGATGGGTGAGGATCTTTCAATATTGAGTCAACAATTTATTCAGTGGTGGGACTGCTCTATCCTTAATCAGAGATCTCGTGTTCGTACTTTGAGTGTGAAGAAAATCAGGTTTGAAGCGTCGCCCCAAATAAGACTTGTGTTGGGCGATTCAAATTTAATCGAAACTCCAATACAAACTCCAGACAATAAGAGACCAAGAAAAAAAAAACCTAAATAAATGTTTCTAGTGTTTTTTCACCAAACTTTGCATCTAAATGAATGCCTTAACTTATCGATTCACCTACTTAGCCATGACTATGAGCAAACAAACCTAAATAAAGTGGACTTTAATGTATTCATAGCTACAAGATGCAAAATATGCGGAATTAAAATTTAAGTTAGTACGTATGAAATACTATTTGTAAGTAATTACCAGTCATTGGATTGTCACATTGATGTGAAACTTAAATAAAACATGAATATATACTCCCATCCTTTTATTTTACTTGTTCGTGTATTAAAAATAGATATTTCATTTTTATTTGAGGTTCTTGCAGACTCAATTTCTGAGATCACATCGGAAGTTAAGACTTTACTGTCAATTGTCATTTTGAAGAAGGATTAATGGCTGAATAAAATGTGATAAAGGCCAATTAAGATATGTTGTAAATGAGACGTAATAATGGGAAACGTTACAAATATCAATTGCAACATTAATATTTGATTTAGAAGTAATAACCAATCAATGACTGTTTAATGTATAAACATAAATATTAACCGTTAAGGCTATAAAGTCAATGTAAGTGCCTATGTGTCATTAACAATTGAATTATTTGATATAGTTACCATCAAGCTTGTTGCAACTTCATTATAAACCTTAACCACAAGGAGCTTGGAATGATCATTAAAACGAAAAGAAGAAATCACATAATCAATCCATTTATGTTGATCTCCAAGCTATCATATTTGGCCAAACTCTAATTACTAAGTTGAGTTCATTGATTGATGGATGCTTCGACCTCATTGTTTAACAAGGGACGAACCATCGCTCAAATAATCACTTAATAAAAATATACTATATTCTTTTCAATCATAAACATTAGTGAGGAAACAAATTCTTAATACATACATATCAAATCAATCCAGACCTTTGCAACTCTAGTACAAGAGCCACTTCAATGGAACAACACAAAGCAATCAATCACTCTTTCCCTCTTGGGCACCGATTTCTTGCAAGTAATGTTCAGCATCCAAAGCCGCCATGCACCCTACAAAAGCATGCCCCAAAAGAAAGAACAAAAACAACCTTAAGCCATATGTTATCTCGAGAGGAAGATGCGGAGTCAAGACACAGTTTGTTGCACTCGAAGATCAAAGTGATAAACGAAGCAAAAACACATGGATATAATCATCACAAGTACCAAAGTAACGAGTGTCAAAGATGTTAAGGTTATCAATACCAGTATGCCAAGGATGCTGAAACATATAGCAAGAAAATGTTTTAAAAAGAAAAAGGCCAGAGGCACAATTTAACAAAATAAAAATCTAGGCACCAAAGGCAAAGATACCAACGTTACAAAGCACACCCAACAGACATCAAATTATCTCACAAGGTTCTCCATATGTACACTGCATCCAACAGGCATCATATTTCTTTCACAAGTACATAAACATAATGTAAAATGCAATGCTGAATGGAAAAGGCCAATAGAACATTGTTCAAGAACGTAAACCTAAACTTAGTAGGATCCTTGAGACACATTCCTGTAAATTAGTAACCAGAAGTGCAGGACTAAATAAAATATGTGAAGCGTGCAAACAAGTCCTACAATGTACACCATAATCATCATCCATATACAATCATGTCTCCCAGAAAATCACAACACCTCAAGACAGAACTAGAGTAATAATGAATATGAGTTGCCCAAATAAAAGGCCCATATCATTTCTGTAGACTATCAGCATCTGACATCATCACAAACTAAATCTTACAATTGAATAAACCTTTTTTGAACTAGAAAATCAATATTGACTATAACACATCACAAGGACAACTCTTAAAACTTGAACACTGAGTTTTTATTTTTATAAGAGAAGCTAAATAGGCAACAACAAACCATAGACATCTTTGTGGCTATAAATTATCTCATTAAGGGTAAAATGAAAAGTTTAAAGTTAAACTGTTACAAAATATAGAAAGATGTTTTGGGGACTGACTAAAACAAAAGAGTAATACATAAATTGGGACCAAAGGAGTATTTGCTTTGCTATCGCTCTGTCTGAGATATATCTTTAGGAGCTAAATCCTGCCTTAGAATGGTAAAATAGTTGGGGAAAGACCCATTCTTTTGTCATAAAACATCAAAAGCAGAGAAACAAGTCCTGCTTCTTTCATCACCAAAGAGTCCATTCGTGTGATGCATTATCAAAAGTTCAGATTCTGGTTGATGCTAGTATTTCATTAGTACGATCAACATTGGTTTCAAAGGATGGAAATTTTATGATTATAGTTAGTAAAACATGGGGTCACTAACTCTTGAGTCCGGAACCTATTTGAGTGACAGAGAGAGAAAATTGACCAAAATAAGCTACAATTCTAGAAAGTAACTAAAATAGGGTTAGTGTAGTTTTTTCTTCCGTTTTACACAAAAAATATAAACGGCAAAAATTAGATTGTTAACGTCTATATTTTAACATAATATGGAAAAAAAAAAATCCACTTTATAGAGTGTAACTTAACTTTTTCTTACACTTCATAAAGTGGAAGAAAAAAAATTGCTTTACAAAAAGGAAATTTTTACATTTACACTAAATTATGTCTCTTTATGCAATTTTTGCAGTTACGATAGTTTTTGGACAAATATACTCAACTTTTGGTTGAGAAGACATTTTTTCTGATTGAAATGAAGAAAAATAGAATATTAAAGATGTTGAAGGTGCTATGTTTGATCGTGCTTAAATAAAGCTTGGAGGAGTTTTCAGATTAAAAACAATAAAAATGCATAATGTAATCATTTTTTCCGTTTTCATGATATGTCAAATCAATATGATTGTATGAAAAACACTACAAAAACTGCATAAAGAGACACAATTTAATGTAAAATGTAAAAAATATTCCTTTTTGTAAGGTAGAATTTTTTTCTTCCACTTTATAAAGTATCAAAAAAACTTAAACTTTATCAAGTGTAAGAAAAAGTAACACTTTATAAAGTGGAATTTTTTTTTGCTTTATGTTAAAATATAGACGTTAACAGACTAACGTTTGCCATTTATATTTTTGGATAGAACGGAAGAAAAAACTAAACTAAGCCTATTTTAGTTACTTTCTAGAATTGTGGCTTATTTTGGTCGGTTTTATCTCTTTAGCTCAAAAATAGGTTCCAAACTCCTAATTCTCTTACTAACTTCCCAAATATTTTAACAATTCATAAAAGATAGTTTAGGATAGACTTTCTACCTAGCCAAAAAAAAGGGTTAACCTAAGCACTTGGAAAGATACCATATCACAGTCTGCCGAAAAAATTGTATTTTTTTTCAAAGAACTTTCTACTTGGATTGGTTTCATATCAAGGCAACTTTTTTACTAAAATTAAAGACAAGCAAGAACATTAAACAATGAGAATTTTAAAGTTTCATAAATCGTGGTAAGTCTAAACCGTGATTAGGTCTGCTCCCCACCCACCCCACACAAGAAAAAATAAGCACTTCTCTAAATACTACTTAACTAAATCATTATCAAGTAATCTATTTTACGAGAAATTCCACCTACGATACCAAAATCAAATTGACACAGCTAAGCTGGTGGTGGTTCTTTGTTCTTCTTCTTCCCCAAATATTACACCTCTTTTTCTTCTCCATTAGCAGTGCAGCCTCACCTCTGGAATGGAGTCCTTACCCTAAAACCTTGTCAAAGAACATTCACACTTAACTACAAGGATCAGAGAAACAACCAAGTGATACTTTAGGCGGCATGGTGCCTTGAAACCCTCTAAGACATTCTCCACAGTACTAGAACTTTCTTTATATCAGACTTCCATTCCATTCATTCTAGCTTTCAGTAGTTGAATACTAAACCATTATAAATGTAAAAAATATCAAACAAGAGTGTAACACAATAAAGACAACCATAATGTCACTAGGAGGTATTCTATTTCTTCAGCAAATATACAGACGGCATAGCTGCAATGAGTGCATTCTCTACTTTGTCGATACAGCTAAAAGTTCTCTATACAAATGAAACATGTGACTGTTAAAATTTTGGGCCAATATCAATAAAAACAAATGTCTACAAGCATGTTTTCAAGAACATCAAAGGGCATCAGACTAGTGATAGATATTTAAATTCTAAAAGGTTATAAATTACAACAAGAAAAAAGTAGCATGCATACTCAGGCAAACAAAACCAAACCACTAACCTGAGCCAGCAGCAGTAATAGCTTGCCTATACTTCTTATCCTGCACATCACCAGCAGCAAAAACACCCCTAACACTGGTCAGTGTCGTCCCTGGCTTAGTTACAACATATCCATCAGAATCCAACTCTAATTGCTTATCCAAAAACTTGGTAGCTGGTTCATGCCCAATGGCGAAAAACAAGCCTGAAACATTCAAATCAGAAACTTCTCCTGTAACAATATTTTTCACCTTCAATCCACCCAAAAGCTTTTCCCCATAAGCCTCCACTACAGTAGAATTCCAAATCACCTCTATTTTAGGGTTACTCAATGCCCTATTTTGCATTATCTTCGATGCCCTAAATTCATCCCTCCTATGAATAATATACACTTTCGAACCATATTTAGTTAAAAAATTAGCTTCCTCCATAGCAGAATCTCCACCACCAATTACAGCTAATGGCTTATTACGGAATATCGGGGCAGCGCCATCACAAACGGCGCAAGCTGATATCCCCTTATTCCAGAAGCCATTATTGCCGGAGCCGGGGAATTCAAGCCTCTTAGCTACAGCACCAGTAGCGAGAATAACGGCGTCAGCTAATACAGTCCTATCATCAGAAACAACTTTAAAAGGACTTTTAGAAAAATCTACTTTAGTTACCGTTTCAGTATAAATTTGTGTCCCAAAACGAATAGACTGCGCACGACACTTTTCCATAAGCTCGCCGCCGCCAATACCTTCGGGGAAACCAGGAAAATTCTCAACATCTGTGGTGGTCGTCAGCTGACCGCCGGGAGCTATGTCGTTAGCCATCCATCCTTCGAAAAGGATCGGCTTCAGCTCCGCGCGGGATGCGTAAATGGCAGCTGTGTGAGCTGCAGGTCCACTCCCGATTATACAAACGCTAGTTTTTAGGGTTTTATGAATGTCGTCCATGGAGGAAAATTTAGGGGAATTCGCGGCGGCGGCGGTAGTGAGGGTGGCGACGGGAATTAGGTTACAGGCTTTTTTGAAAGTATTTAAGAGTTTTGGCCAACAGTTGCCGGTCATATTTTTCCTTTGAATTTGAATGGGTTGAAAGTTGACTTTTTGCTTGTTGTTACTGTTTAATATGAATATGAATATTTGAATGGTAATGTGTACATATGATATTGGAATTATATAGTTTTGGAAGCAAAACATATTTGGAATCCAACTACATGCTTAACTTAGTTCAATATCTTATTTGGAGAATTAAAGCCCAAGTTATTCCATATTCATCCTGATATATATATATATATTGGCGTTTAAATATGATTTTTCCATTTAATTAGTAGTTTATTAAAATAACACAATTAGTTTTTTTTGGAAAAACATAATTTTCAATCTTAATACAAAATTAATGGAAAGTTACATTAAAAAATGCAGATTATTATTATCTATGCGTTGAAACAAATCACAAAACGTCTAGTTTTTTAAAAGTCTAGCAAAATCATAAGTTTAAACTATAAACTATAAAGGTTGATCACATGTATTTTGTGATAAAACGTAAAAATGTGAGACGGGTCCTAATAAATATTATAATTTTTGCTCTTGATGCCCATTGCTTTTCTTTGCGGGAAAAAAAAAAGGAAAAGAAAATTGTTAATAAGAATTAAGAAGTGAAGAAATAAAGAAAGAGATTAGCTATCTTAATGTGAAATCTAGGAATAATGAATGAATTTTCTTTGGATAAGGACAATTCAAAGAATCACATCCAAATATACTATGATAGATTATAACTCATATCTCATAAAAAGAAATTCTTTGGCTGCTACTTTGAGTTATCTGATTCCAAATAATAAACAAGAATGTCACTTTTTTTTTCCAACAGAAGGATGCGTACGTATACCTACTTTCTTTATTTTCATATTATATTAAACCTTCAAAATACGATGGATTGACAAATTCAACTTTTCTAATTACAATCTACTAGTATTTTTCAGTTTAAAATGTGATGGTTATGTTTGACTGACTCCGTTGTTGTTTGTTTTTAATTACATCGCTCATTTGACTTGTCAAAGTCTAAAACAAATAACATAAATTTTGGAACATCTTCATACCCTCGAAAAAATCAACAATATACATAATATTATATCGTCCATTTTTTAAAATTTTCGGGGTGTCTTCCACTTTTCAGTTCAGAGAAATAGAAAGAGGGGTTGCTAGCTTGAGTCAATAGACTGTTTTTTTATACCTTTTCTATAAGATCTACTTTCAGATCGAGCCTAAGTTTTTTAGTTATTTAAATAAGTTTGGTCTAAGGTCGTTGCTCTTTGCCACCTATTGACAAAGTATGTCGATGGGTAAGCATTCCCTTGCAATGGTGTGGGGATTAGAGGTAAAACAAAATTTTATTTTCACGGTCAAACGCCTGGGGTGATTAAAGCTTTCCCATCAGATTTTCTCCATGGACATAGCAATGTGATTTAGACGTGATTGGGCCGAGGAACACAAAATGGAAGTCCAGCTAAAAGAAAGAATTTTAGGCCCATACGAAGGGCCAGATCCCCAGACAAAAGAAGGAAACAACTTCACAAATAGCCATGTAGCAAAGTGCACTGCTTAATTTAATTCTATTGTAGCCAGTTTGCTATTCGTTTAATTTGTATAATTCGTCTGATTGTATAAATTAGAATTTTGTATAATTAATTAATTTTTATTTTTTTCGGCAAATTTCAAAAATGAGTAATTTATTTAAAAAATAAAAATTAAAAAAAATTGTTGAAATTTTTGAATTTAAGGCTACTATATTTATTTGTGATTTTTTGGCGTTAATTTTATATTTTTTTCATATTTTTTATTAATCAATTACTCATTTTCGGGATTTACCGAAAAAAATAACAATTTTAAAAAATTGTTGAATTTAAGGTTACAATATTTATTTGTGAATTTTTGGCATTAATTTTATTATTTTTTTCATATTTTTTATTAATCAATTATTAATTTTCGGGATATACCGAAAAAAATAAATATTAAACAAAATTGTTGAAAATGGGTCGGGTAGTTTATTTAAAAGGGGGTTGATTTATTGGTCGGATTAGGTGTTTATGGGCTCGAATTTTTTTAGGGGTATAATTGATCCCTTTCCATTTTAATATAAATGTCATTGGTAAAGTCAAAATGACATGGCAATTCCATGTGGCATTTAAAGAAATGAAAAATGAGTTGGATATGTCCAGCAGGCCAACTAACGCCCATAAGGGCATATTTAGACCAAAAGTTGGATGGCGAGGGCATGAGTGAGCCAAACTTTAAACGGAGGGTATATCTAGACCTTTGCGAATAGTTTAGGGGCATATTTGCCCCTTTACCCTTAATTCTATTGTGATTTGCAGTCATAGTTTCCTCAAATTTTGCTATTCGTTTAATTTGTATAATTCCTCTGATTGTATAAATTAGAATTTTGTATAATTTGGTTTCTGATTGTATAAATTCAGAATTTGTATATGCTTACCCTCGCTATTTGTATACGATTTATGAAAAAATCACAATAAATTACCCTATTTGTATATCGACAAACGAAATATATAAATGGAGTTCTAAAAAAATTCTAAATGTATAAATATATAATCTGTATATACCTACCATATTTGCATATTTGCAAGCGAAATTTACAAAGGGTGTGAAATATACAAATCGCAGCCTCCATAGCAAATGAAACTATAGTTATGAAGCGTAATTATCAAAGTTATAGTTACAGAGTCTTATTATGTCTATTATGTTTGGTATTTCTCAAATTTTCTCTTAATTTAACATTTAGCTCATTTGCATTTCAATTATGTTCACAAGTCAATGTTGATTGATTTCATTTCCAACCTTGACAATTTACTCCTGGTTTTCTTCTCTGTCATGTGAGTCTACATTTGCAAAACCTACTACACCCATAATCGTGATTCGTGGCTGACATGTTGCTATATCTACATACTTTATACATATAGACTATAGTATATATTATTTGATTGCTCAAATGAGATCTAGTGCTTTATATGTTAATGAAATGATCCTCCATAAATATTAGTTAAACAATGTTTACCAACACAATCTTCATGTATCAAATGAGCATGGTTGACGAAGTCATGGGCAGAGCTAGAGGGCAGAAAGAGATTATTTAAATCTCATTCATTAGAAACATTATATTAGATAACGCTGAATATATACTTCTCTATAGAAAAGAGAAATATAATTAAAGGTGATTATCTATATTATTTGGTGATGTAATGCTTGCAAAATTGTATTTGTTGAAAAAAATGAAGGATAATATTTCATAATCATTTTTTTTGTGATAAATGTCACCATCTTAATTAGTTCAAGCTTTAGTTGAGCCTTGAACTTTCTAAAGTTAGTTTCCTTGAAGTCAAATGTATTTAATTGAGTTTGTATCATAATATCGATAAATTATATTTAGACATTACTTTAGTTTCTAAAGAATTTATGCCTTATCAAACATAAATTTGATTGTTAAAGGATAAAATCTAAAACTAGCTCGTTTAAAGGTCAAAATGTCGTCCTAACTTTTTGAAAAATGCAACTCTCTATATATGTTGGCTAAGAAATAGCCTTTGCCCACTCTAATCTGCTTTTATCAGAGTATGAAACCTAATCTACTTAGCTAAAACCAAAAAAGTCAGTGAGCAAAACTGATGTGAAAATGATTAAAGGCAAAGAAATACTAAAACCTTTATCTCATCACCAATTAAAGGAATCAAAAGTGATTGTCATTATGGAGACATTTAACTAAATCAACTTTTCTAAAGTTTGAAAAATAGGATGGCGCCATAAAGTCTATATGTTCAGATTTTCAACCCCTAAAAAAACAAATCCTCAACATCTTTTTTTATTTTAAATTTCTCAATTTTTTACTACTTATTTAAAGTTAGTCAAATAAAATGGCCTTGGGTTAGGTGGTCAGCACATCTTTCAAATCTTTATTTGGTACCTACTACATTAATAAGATTGTCACTCCCAACGTGAAGTTATAATATGAGTAGTTATCAAATTAATCACAACATTAATGCCATAACACAAGGTTCAAATTTGAAATTTGAATACTGAAAACTGAAAACTTCTTCATTACATCAATTTTTAAAAATATTTTTTAGTTTTTCTCCATATGCATATTTCAGGGGGAAACACAAGGACAGACAAAACTCTGTCCTAGACTCCTAGATACAGAAAATAAAATTATATTATTTTATATATAAGGATAAAATGATCTTTCTTACCACTTTCAAATGGAATAGAAGAATATAACTTTTTCAAATCTGTTGTAAAAGATATACAAAATTAAAATTAAGTTTGTAAATAATTACAAAATCAAGTTTTTATTGGGGTAGAGTAAAAGGTGTCCAAATATAATAGGTAGTATTTTTTATTAACAAATTGAATAAAGGTGTCATATATGTTATTATGATAAAAAAAAAAAAAACTAAAATTATATATAAGATCCGTTCACCTTTAATAAGAAATCACTTATTTAAAGTTCGAATGCCAAGTATTTTCCTTGTTAATGAGTTTTGTGAATGCTTTCCTTTTAACGAGTCTTACCCTAATGAATTCAGATTAGTTAAGTCTCCGAGCCACGCGAAAATATCATATGAAAAAACAAAAAGATATGGAAAAAAGAAAAACTAAACAAAATCATAGCTCAGGCAATTTTTCACCTGAATTTTTTTGATTCTAATGTACACTAAAACATGACGGAAAAAACCCCAAATACATATGAAGTGATAGAAGTAAAAAATAAAATAGAAGCTCCTCAACATATACTAAACTAATACTTTACACAAGAAACATAATTTGTGTTTCTCTTTTTCTCTAATTAATTACTTCTCCATAGCTAATTGTAATTAACAATTAATTTCATGGCTGATGAGAACTGGTTTTTCCTCCATAGAAAGTGAATTCCTCTTAATAAAATCCAAGCAATCAGCTATAGCTTCTGCATAAAACGAATTCGAACGTCCGTACGATTTCAATCTATAATCACAATTACTTTTGTTATAATTTCCATACATAGCATAATCTGCTTGTTCGCTCACCAAATT